AAAGGATTTCTATTGCAAAAGTATAGCACATGGCAAGTGTCAATAACTAGCTATTATTATGTAATTTTGTCAGACCCGGCAGAGAAAAATGCTAAGAGCTGCCTGCCTTGAGAATGCCTCAAAAAGCTCTCTACCACAGAAGAGAGAAGATACCGACGGCTCAGACTGGGGAGGGTCATTCTTTGCCTCCATTAGCTCTCAGCCCTAGGCTCATTTTAGCTCAGGTGAAAAGAACTCTGAACTTTGTCCAGCTTTGGTCTTCAGAAATCTGAATTAGGATTGAGGAGACTCAGAGTAACAAAGCAAAGCAGTTGTACAAGGTCATCCTCTGACTTTTTAACTCTGTTTGACCCCCTCAGCAGAAGTGGAGGTCCCAGCCAGACCAGGATTCCGTGTTCCCCTTTGTCCTCTTTCTCTCATGCTGGGACACCCCTACATATACTTTTTTGCTTTAAGACAGAGTCTCACTTGATGCCATGGCACTCTACTCTCGGCATCATAGCTCATAGCAACCTCAAAGTCTTGAGCTCAAGCCCACATCACAGAGTCTCAAAGCTGCAGATGCTGGCATGGATGTGGAGAGAAGGGAACACTTTTACCATGCTGGTGGGACTGCGAACTAATACAACCCTTTTAGAAGGAAGTATGAAGAATCCTCAGAGAACTCAAGCTAGACCTCCCATTTGATCCTGCAATCCCATTACTAGGCATCTACTTAGAAGAAAAAAATCCTTGCATCATAAGGACATTTGCACTAGACTGTTTATCATAGCTCAATTTACATCTGTCAAAATGTGGAAACAGCCTAAGTGCCCACCAATCCGGGAATGGATTAACAAGCTGTGGTATATGTGTAACATGGAATACCACTCAGTCACTAAAAAAGATGGAGACTTTACATCTTTTGTATTAACCTGGATGGAGGTGGAACACATTCTTCTTAGTGAAGCATCACAAGAATGAAGAAGCAAGAATTTAATGTACTCTATTCTAATATGAAGGCAGTAGATGAGCTAATACAAGATGGGGGAAGGGAATGAGCAAGTGGGGAGAAGGGAGGAGGACGGGGGGTCATGGTGTATGGCACACCTCTTGGGGGCAGGACACAATTATAACAGAGACTTTATCTAGCAAATACAATCAGTATAACCTAATTCTTTGTCCTCTAAATGAACTGCAAACAATAAAAAAGAAAATAATTTAAAAAAAAAAAAAGGTTTGAGTGACCCTCTTGCCTTAGCCTCCCAAATAGCTGGGACTACAGGCACCAGCCACAATGCCCAGCTATGTTTAGAGACGGAGTCTCACTCTTGCTCAGGCTGGTCTTAAACTCGTGAGCTCAAATGATCCACCTACCTCAGCCTCCCAGAGTGCGAGGATCACAGGCGTGAGCCACTGCACCCTGTCCCCTACATATCCTTTAACACAACTTTCAGAAAGAAGGCTTCAAATGCACCATGAAGAGATAAAATCTGGTGTCACTATTAGAAACAGGAAAAGAGAGGCCAGTGTGGTGGCTCACACCTGTAATCCTAACACTTTAAGAAGCCAAGGCAGGAGGATTACTTGAGGTCAGGAATTCAAGATTAGCCTGGGCAACAGAGCGAGACCCCATCTCTACAAAAAATAGCATCTACCGTTAGTCCCAGCTACTCAGGAGGCTGAGGCAAGAGAATCACTTGAGCCCATGAGTTTAAGTTTGCAGTAAGCTATGACGACACCAGTGTACTCTAACCCAAGTAACAGAGCAAGATCCTGTCTCAAAAACAAAAGAAGGGAAAAAAACTCTACTTTGGGATCAGATGTGAAAGAGATGGTAAGAAGTAAAACTTAGCTCTGCAGCAAGATCATCTTGAGGTTCTGCCATCATAGTCAAATGAAATATGGGCCTGGAATTTGGAAAACATTACTCTAAGGCAATGGTTCTCAACCTTCCTAATGCCCCAATGTATTTTCATTGTTAAAAAGGGGTTGCGACCCACAGATTGAGAACCGCTGCTCTAAGGTATTTACTGATTTATAGGAAATTAATTAAGCCCAAGAGGAGAGAGAGAAAGAAGAACCCAGAGGGAAGAGGGCAGGGGAGGAAAGAAGAGGAATAGGAAAGACCTGTGAATTGTGCGTGAGTACTGGCCTGTGAATCAGTTAACAGAATCCTGAAGTATCTGCATTTGAGGGCCAGGGGAATCAAACTGCAGTGGGGAAAAAGTCAGTGCAGCGGCTCGGCGCCTATAGCTCAACCGGCTAAGGCGCCAGCCACGTACACCTAAGGTGGCGGGTTCGAATCCCCAGCCCGGACCCGCCAAACAACAATGACAGCTGCAACCAAAAAATAGCCGGGCGTTGTGGCGGGCGCCTGTGGTCCCAGCTACTTGGGAGGCGGAGGCAGGAGACTCGCTTGAGCCCAGGAGTTGGAGGTTGCTGTGAGCTGTAATGCCACGGCACTCTACCCAGGGGGACAGCTTGAGGCTCCGTCTCAAAAAAAAAAAAAAAAAAAAAAAAAAAGTCAGTGCAGCCACCTCTGCTGTGCCAGAAAGGCAGGCAGTCACCTGGTCATTGGCTGCTTACAGGACCAATTCAAGAAAAACAGGTTTTACATTTCACTGACTTCAGGGTAAAAAAATAAGTTCACCCTAGGAAAAAATAAATAAGAGGAAATAATTGCTGGAAATATGTACTTTAACCTAGGACCTCTGAGGAAGTAATATACATCTAAGCACCTAGACCGATGTTTGAGAGATGGCAGGAGCCCAGTGGTGGCAGTAATGGGGGCAGACTGTGTGTGCATGTATGCACACACACAGGCAAATCTTCAAATGTGAACCAGGGACAGAGAGGACGGGCAGTAGTATCAAAAACTTGGGAAAGGCTTAAATATCCATAGAGGGAAAAATACTGCATAATCATTTCATAAATAATTATGTAGAGACTGAAAGATAAGCCAGATATAATCACATGAACAGAGAAAGGTCTTCAAAAATACTGTAAAATTAAAGTTAGGAAGCAATATTACATTGAAATCTAAATTATATGTACTCTAACTGTATGTGTGTGAATCTAAATTTGAAGAAAAGGACTGGAAGGACATGTATCCAATTTTAGCAATGGTTGCTCCTAGCAAGAACAACAACATGAATGAGAGGGCTAAGGAAGACTCCTGGTTTCTACTCCATATTTTGTTTTTAGTATTGTTTCTTCTATTTTTTACAATAGTGTATTAATATTACTTGTATGACTTCTTTTTGTAAGACAGAGGTTCACTCTGTAGCCCTGGGTAGGGTGCTGAGCCATCAGCCTAGCTCACAGCAACCTCAAACTCTTGAGCTCAAGTGACCCTCTTGCCTCAGCCCTCCCAGTAGCTGGGACTACAGACACCCGCCACAACATCTGGCTGGTTTTTCTCTTCTTTTCTTTTTTTTTTTTACAGATAGAGTCTCACTTTGTTGCCCCCAGTAGAGTGCCATGGTAGCACTTTTTTAGAGACAGAGTCTCACTTTGTTGCCCCCAGTAGAGTTGCCATGGTGCCAAGTGCCAGCTCTTGGGCTTAGGCGATTCTCTTGCCTCAGACTCCCTGGGTTTTCTATTCTTAGTAGAGACAGAGGTCTCACTTTTGCTCAGGCTGGTCTTGAACTCATGATCTCAAGCAATTCATCTACCTCAGCCACCCAGAGTGCTAGGATTATAGGCCTAAACCATTGCACCTGGACTTGTATGATTTTTAAAATACAATATTTTCATCTAGTAAAAAATAAAAATGAAGAAAAATATGAGAGTATTTTATTCTTTGCATTTTTCTTTTTTGAGACAGTCTCTCTATGGCACCCTCAGTAGTGTGCCATGGCATCATAGCTCACAGCAAACCTCAAAATCCTGAGCTTAAGCGATTCTCTTGCCTCACCCTCCCAAGTAGCTGAGACTACAGGTGCCTGCCTCAATGCCTGGCTATTATTTTGTTGCAGTTGTTACTATTGTTTGGCTGGCCCAGGCCAAGTTCGAACCTACCCACCTTGCTGCATGTGGCTGGTGCTGTAACCACTCTGCTACAGGCACCGAGCCTATTCTTTGCATGTCTTTCTGAAGGATTTATTTTTCTTTGAGTTTTTTTTTTTTTTTTTTGAAACACAGTCTTGCTCTGTCACCCAACCAAGAGTGCCACGGCTTCAGCTTAGCTCACAGCAACCTCAAACTCCTGGCTCAAGTGATCCCCCTGCCTCAGCTCCTGAGTAGTTGGGGACTACAGGCACTTGCCATGCCTACCTTATTTTTCTAATTTCAGTAGAGACAGGGTCTCACTTTGCCCAAGCTGGTTTTGAACTCCTGACCGCAAGCAATCTGCCCTCCTCAGTCTCCCAGAGTGCCAGGATTATGGGCATGAGCCACCGCACCCAGCCTTCTTTATTTTTTAATTTGGGCTGTATGGCCCCATCAGTCAAGTTAGAATCCTAGTTACCAACTCTGTGACCTTGAACAGGTTTACTTAAAGCTCTCTGCTTCAGTTTTCCTCATCGGCAAAACTGTAACTGAAGTTATAACTTTTAGGATTGCTGTATCAAAATTTATCTAAATCAAAAGCTTGACACCCTGCCCACTACTTGCATGGCACTCAGCAGAAGGTCAATAAGCATTAACTCCTGTCTTCCTCTTATTCTTTCAATCCCAAGTAGGCCAAATTATAATCGTGGTCCCATCACAGTGATTTAGGTTGATAAAATGATTCATAAGTTTCAATTTTAATACAATCATAACATGTTAGATAATATCATGACAGAAAGTAAGTATAGAGATTAAATGCTTATGTGAAAGATCTTAGTCATAATTTCTCCCTCAATTTAACCACTGTTATCTATAATCCTTTTAATCTGAATACAGACACAGTCTCAAAAAGTCACACCCATAATAAACGGGAACAAAAGGAGGGAGGGAGCAAAGGCAGAAGTCATGGAGTAGGACCCCAACTTCAAAGCTATTTAGCACAGGCATTGTACAGCCAAGGGACCTACTTTGGTGGTGATCCGATAAGTGATGTAGGTCTCCATCGTACACACGTGCTTCTTGGGATCGTCAACTGTGACAAAGAGATCTCGGGTCTCACCATCTATGTCATCGTCAAGCTGGAGTCTGTTGAGGAGGGAAGATGAGGAAGCTGGGCTCGAAGTGCCTACTGGAGTTCCACCATTGGGCAAAATCAGATCCTAAAAGAAAAGAGTTAATTTACAAATCAAATGAGATTTTGGAGAATTATTAGCAGAAGCAGCTGGTTTAGCCAAAGTAAGAAACACCTCTAAAAAAAAATAACAAAAATCATTTTCAAAAAAAAATCCCAGCATCTCCCTACTCAGTGTTTCTACAGTGACTAGGTCTTTCATGACCAAGAGAGACAAACTATGGCAGTGCTCTGGATTAAATCCTTGCCAATTCATCTTTCAGGAAGTGCTAGAGGAAACGGCACAAGCAAACAGCTCAGGACAGAGAACATAACAGCCCCACCACTGTCAGAACTCAACAGAGGAGGAACTCTGAGCACACCATAAACGCTGTCTTTCCCACTTTCTCAAGACCATACCACGCCTGGACCCAGACTAATATAAAGGAGACTGAACCCTCTTAAACACTTAACACATAAAAACTCAATCAACCACCACAACAAGATAACTAAATGTGATGTGCTTCCTAAAAGAAGATCACACTGCCGCCTATGGAGTATGCTTGCCAAGAAAATCAAATACAAATACTAAACTTGCCTTTAGACACAACACCAATTAACAGGAAATATAGAGAACTGAGGAACACGTTAAATGATACTATAAGGATACAATCAGCAAAACCCACACTATATCGAACTAAAAAGAACCAAAGACCCAGCTTCTCCAATAAATAAATTGCAAGAAAAGAAAAAAACAGAGAATAAAGAAACTTAAGAGATCAGCCAGGCTTGGTGACTTATGCCTGTAATCTTAGCACTCTGGGAGGCTAAGGTAGATTGACTGCTTGAACTCAGGAGTTCAGCCTGAGCATGAGCAAGACCCTGTCTCCACTATAAATAGAAAAACTAGCCAGGCATTGTGACAGGCACCTGTAGCTTCAGCTACTTGGGAGGCTGAGGCAAGAGGATGGCTTCAGTCCATGAGTTTGAGGTTGCTGTGAGCTATGATGCTACGGCACTCTACCCAGGTCAACAAAGTGAGACTCTGTCTCAAAAAAAAAAAAAAGAAAGAAAGATCAACAAATTGCATCAAAACGATTATTAAGATATTCAGGAAAATTTGAATATTTTTGAGATATTCAGAAAAATTTAAATATTGATAACATTAAGGAATCATTAAGAGTGATAATGAAAATATTATGATTTTCCAAAGTATTTCATTTTTTAGAAATGAATACTAAAATGCTTAGATGAAATGATAAGATGTCTGGTATATGTTTCAAATTAATTTAAGGATGGTCTGGCGGGGCCAATACAAGATGTTCAAGAATTGGTAACTGTTAAAGCTGGTACTTGGAAGCTTCATCATACAATTCTCTGTTGTGTATGCTTAAAATTTTCCCTAAGAAAAGAGTTTTAAGAGGGGGGGAGGTGGTCAGGGGAACTAATGCCAGGAAAGAAAAAGAAAAAAAAATTGAAAAATAATACTGCTGACGTTGAAGAGCAAAAAGAAAAAACACAGAAAAATTATAGACCTCTTTAGCCTTTAGTACAAAGTCATCTGAATAAATTATGTCTCTACAATATCCAAGAAAGGCTGTAAAACTGAAAAGGCCCAGTCTTATAGTTACATTTCTTGGTTTTAAGAAACCAAGATAACAGAGCAGAGCCCTGCCTAGCAGTAGACATGAAAACTTCTGAATGTTACCTTGGAACCACTGGGGGGTCAAAGACTAAGGAGTATGGTGAGAGACTAGCCTTCAGGGAAAGGGCCTTGACATCAGATCACAGGCTGGTGCCTTCTCTGTATTCCCTCTACCTGAAGCTCTGCAGGTTGGTAGGGCCCCACCCCTAGACAAGAGAACACACAGGAACCTGAGGTCAACACAGCAGTCACATCCACGAGCTCCGGCAGATCATGGGGCTTGTGGGAAGAGGAAAGGCACAGTGAAGAGGGAGGCATGGCCTGGGGTGAAGGGCAAGGCCACCAGCCCAGTGGGCCACGGAAAGTACCATTCAACTCAAGTACCAGAAAAGGCACCTTCCTCTGCCCTCCCATCTGCACTGACCTCAGATCATGTAATCACATATTTGTGCAATATCAAAAATTTTTGTAATTACTGAAAAGGCGCACCATTTTCACAGAAAGTACTCATGGGAATGGAAACACCCCCCACCCACACACTTCTCAGCTGTGCTTCTGACCACGGGGCAGGTCCAGGAGCTTGTCAGCCAGGGCATCACACCCTCAGCAGCTGCTCCTGGTGTGAACAGGACTGCAAAGCTCGGCTACGGCAGCTTCACTCATCCCATGGCTCTCTGTGTCCTGGGACCATGGGGCCTGCACCACTCTCACCCCCTGGGAAGGGACATCATCTTCTCTGGAACTCTAAGATAACCATCTAGTCTTAGTCATTTCAGTAAACATGTAAACACTGACCTCAGGAAAGAGACAGTAGTAGGCATTGCAGGGGCCCACCCTTTGCATTTTATCAACACTACCACACTGCGCCCCATAATATCTCTGTCAGTGGCCAAACACTGCACAAAAGAGAGAAAGAATTCAAAATCTTAGGTCAGGTAAGCCAGTATAGCTCAGATAGAGGCTTTCCACAATCTGGCCTAGACCGATCTTAGCAGCCTCTTTCTCATCATCTCATTTTCAGGACCTGCCATGCTGTTTCACACCCCCCATCTGTGCTTGAGAAGCCCCCCACTTTTTTTTTTTTAATGTCAAGATCTTCAAATATCTCATAGGAATCTGCTCACATGCTCTCTCCTCTCCTGCCTTTCTTGACCGCTTCCGTGGCAGAATTAGTTACTCCCTTCTCAAAATGTTACACACACCTCCACTGAAGCAATTTTCACAGTTTTAATCATTTATTTACACATCTAACTTAGCCCCCAACAACTGTAACTGTGTCTGTTCATATGTGTGTGTGTGTGTGTGTGTGTGTCTGTTGAGGATGTGTGGTTACCTGTCTGCCTCTCCCCAGCTCTAGCAGCCAACTCTCCTAACCTTAGCTCTGGGGATTTCGGCCAATAACCTTCCAGGAATGGCCCACAGCACATAAAGGTCTAAAATATCCTGGCCAGCCAGCGTGGCGTTAAACAGTTCTCTAATCAGTTGTCTGGGGTGGGGAAACGGAGAGTCAGTCAATCAGATCTTGTCACATATGCCAGATTTTTTCCTCCTAGGACAACACAACCAGGGGAAACGCCTGTACCTCTCCAGTCCAGGGTGTTCCTTTGAATGTAACATGAGCACAATGTAACAGCTGACAGACTACCAATGTCTATAATCTCCTAAACAGAGACACCGCCACCTCAGATTGCCATGGTACCGCTCTGTACACAGTGCTTCACAATCTCATTTCAGTGTACCCCATAACAGCCTTGTGAGGTGATGGGACAGACACTGTCTCTACCTGTGAAAAAGCAGCCTTGAAAAGGTTAAGTAACTTGCATAAATGTGTGGAGGCTAGTATCTTCTGTACCAAAGACTGATCCCAGGTTCCTGGTTCCTAGGTCAGGGTTTCTTACCAAGCTGAATCCCCTCTGAAAACATAAAGTCTCAGGAGGAATGAGCAGAGGGTTAGGTGAACTGAAGGGCCCCGCTTTCCCCACTCCCTCGTGTCCTCTGGCAGTGGAGTTTGCCACAGAGATCAAAGTTCTAGGGCAGGTGGGTATCGTTGGCAGCACCTTTATGACCATCGCAAATTACAGAACACTTGGCTCAACATAAAAGCCTCCTGTTAGACTTTTGCTACCCTCTGGTCAGTTCTCCATCCTGCAGCCATAGAACTATTTTAAAAATGTAGATCAAAACATGTCACTCCCTTGCTTGAAACTTTCAAAGACATCCCTGGCATTCAAAAAAAAATCCTAACTCCTTCCCATAACCTGCAAGGACATGACCTGGTCCTGATCCTGCTCTCCAACCTCATGGTCACACTCCCCTCAGTTCATCCAGCCCTGGATATACTGGCCTTCCTTCTAGCCCACGGGCTGTGCAGGCTGTGACCTCAGGGCCTTTGGACCTGCTGCTCCCTATCCCTGGAACACTCCCCTCCCTCCAGATACCTGTGGAGCGTGGAGCTGGCTCTTCTCTTCAAACAGGTTTCCGCACAAATAATACCTACTCAGAGAGGCCTCCTAGGCCCATAAAATCAAACAATATCCCCATACCCCTTCACCCTCTAGCCCTTCTCTGGCTTTTTCTCTTTATGAGACTTATTACAATGTGAAAATGTAAAATCTGCTTATTGTCTGTCTAACTCCCTACTAGTCTATAAATTCCAGAAGAGCAGACAGCATCCTACCCTTGGCACACAGTAGGTACTCAGTAAGTATTTGATGAAGGAATGAATATATCTTAGAAATGGCCCAATTCAACCCCTTGCCAGGGGGATCGTATTTAATAAGTGTCTGTGGAATGACAATGCAGCTGGGAGTAACATGCACCACACTGCCCGGCTGAGAACCCCAGTTCCACTGCTGACTAGCAGTGTGACTTAAGCAAGATTTTTAATCTTTCTATGTCCCGGTGTCCACATCTGTAAAATAGGTATAATAGAATTGAGCTAATTGATACATGGAAGCAACAGGAATAGTGCCTGGAACATGGTAGGTGTAGAGGCTATATCACTATTCACACACAGATACACACTTGTCCGTAAGTATTTGTAAGTATTCTCGCATCCCCTTACAAACCATGAAGCTGGGTTTGCAGCAGGCATGTAATAAATGCTGCTAAAAATAAAAATTGCATTTGGAGCCATAATGCCTCAAATACATTATCTTATTAATGATTTTACCACATCAATAGATATTTAGAATAGCCTTTGTGAAGAGTTACAACTACACTGTTCTTTGTTTTTTGAGACAGAGTCTTACTTTGTCGCCCCTTGGTAGAGTGCTGTGGCTTCATAGCTCACAGCAACCTCAAACGCTTGGGTTCAAGTGATTCTCTTGCCTCAGTCTTCCAAGTAGCTAGGACTACAGGTGCCCACCACGACATCTGGCTAGTTTTAGAGACGGGGTCTTGCTCTATGGCTCAGGTTGGTCTCAAACCTGTGAGCTCAGACAATCCACCCGTCTCGACCTCCCAGAGTGCTAGGATTATAGATGTGATCTGGCCTACACTGTTGATAAATAAATGAAAACACCCATTACTACTAAACCTACATGCTACAGCTCTCACCATGTAGGTTTCCATTATAAGAGCATTTCTTCCTCCTCCTCCTCCTTTTTTCTACCCTAGGAAGAGAGATACAGAGCTGGATTGATTTAGAAAACTTTCTGGTTCAAAGAATTCAAATTTTAAGATCCACTACTGTGGTCGGCCAGCCACAAGACCGAACATTAAATTACATAAATCACTGGTAAAAATTCTATTATTACATGAAACATATGGTTTATGAATAGAGAGTGGTATGCATTAGGAACCAATGTAAATGTCATAGAAACAAGTCATGCTAAAATAATCTGACTTCTCTTTTGGATACTGTTGGAGAAATGAGGGCAACAGGATGATCTAGTTTCAGTAGAGACTGACAAAGCTTCTTGAGGCATCTCTAGGGTGAAGGGGAGGACGATGACTCTCTGAACGCACAGACTGCACCTTACCCACCACGAGTTACCTCCCTCGTGCCAGGTGCACAGAAGATGCTTAAAGAATAGATGTGTCCCGTACAAACTGAACAGAATACTCTCGGTTGTTGGTTTTGTTGTAAAATTAAATTTAAGCCCAATTTGGAGAATAAACTTAAAGGGGCAATCTCAGAAATGTTCCCTTCAAAGAAAGGTATTCCCAACACAACACGGAACAACAGAATGAAACCTGGAAAAACCCCAAAGGCTCAAGAACCAGGAAACGGCTGTGTTTACATTAATAAGATACAATGTTACATACTTGTTTGAAAAATTATAAATCTAGACCTCTAGATAAACTCAAGCCTTTGTTTTCTCCCTTTTTCCACTGTCCAGATATTAACCCAGAAAATGAGAGTGAAACAGCTGGGGTAAGAAAAATGAACAAGAAAAACAGTGACTAGAGCCGTATCAATTCTGGAAATTAGGAAAGGGTGCCATCTAAATGCCAAAACTTTCTTGTCTTGTTTGTTTTTTCCAGGGGAAAATGCAAATGCAGTCCTCACAAAGTATGCAGCTGAGTTTCCCCCATTTGGGGAAATCGCAGGGGTAAGCACATCCAGAGTACAATGGATAAGCCTCACCGTGGGGACACTACCTGTGTGATCATGGTATCTCCCCTGCCAGGTTTAAGTATAAAGGGCCAAGACTGTCAATGGTTTCCCAATGGATATAATTTCTGAGCTACAACTGGAAAAAAAGAACTAAGAGGCATCCTTTTTTTATTTATTTTTATTTTCTTCTTGAGACAGAGTCTCATGTTGTCACCCTCAGTAGAATGCTGTGATGTCATAGCTCACAGCAACCTCAAATTCTTGGGCTCAAGTGATTCTCTTGTCTCAGCCTCCCAAGTAGTTGCGACTACAACTCCTGGCTAATTTTCAGAGATAGGGTCTTGTTCTTGCTCAGGCTGGTCTCCAACTCCTGAGGTCAAGCAATCCACCATCCACAGCCTCCCAGAGGGCTAGGATTATAGGCATCAGCCACTGCACCCGCCTAAGAGGCATTTTTTAACCCACGTCACTGAGGTAAACTAAGACGTAGAAAATGTCCTAAATCCTCTCATATGCACCCCAACTTGAAAGTACAACTGTCAGGGGGAATGAGGGTCGTATGGGGTCCGACAGTGGGGCCAACAAGAATCACAAGGACCTCTGTCTGGTTGCTGGGAACAAGAGGATGCCAAGCACTGGTGAGGGCCACCAGCAGAGGGCGTCTGTCCGCACAGCTTTATCTCCCCAAGAGGAGTAGAGATGGAAGAAGGTCACAGGAACCTGAAGGCACCTTGGGTGTGTCCAACAGGCCCAGAGCAGGCCAGACTGCAAATGCTGGAGGGACTGGGCTCCACCAAGATGGGGAGGGCAGCTAAAACAATAAGAAGCCAGGCTTCAGTGGGTGCAGACACACGGAGGAGAGGACCGAGTTTCCCCAATTGGACCGCCCAGGACCCTGTCTTCCTCCTGACTCCCTTCCCAGCTCACAGATAACTGGTAGTCTAAGGATCCAAGACAAATTTAATGACGTCAAGCAGAAACACAGGGATCCAGTAATTCACTTGTTCTGCTGGCAAGCAAGTAGCAGGCCTATATTATTACCTCATCAGACACAAGAAAACCATAAAAATACACCCAGACTGAATTAGCTCATTGTTCAGACCCAAGAAAACCAAAAAGTACATCTAGCCTATATTAACTCATCATACAGACTCAAAAATCTGAAACAAACAAAAAAGCAGAGTCTACAAGAGCAGATAAATATGCATTTGAAAAACATCCCACCTGTTTTGTGCTCCCATTTAAAAAAAAAGAAAAAAAAA